TTCTATATATATATATATATATATATATATATATATATATATAATGCCACAAAAGCTAGGTGACGAACAACGAACGAGGATATCCGGTGTATGGCTACCTCTTGCAGTGATTGCCGCGAGCTGTTTGTGCTTGTGGAAGGTGTGTAGAGTATGTTCGATCGAGGTTCATCCGAAGTGTGTTACAGTCGTGTACGACAGGCGTCGCAAAACCATTTTCGCCACCTCTGTGGATAGGGAACGGAAACGCGGTGAACTGTCGCGTACTCGATACTACAGTCCTTTGTACTACTTAAGTGCCCTTTTTATGCTCAGCAATCATTCCTTGATCATGGTTCCACCATCTTCTTTCTATGGCACCTTTACCTTACCCAAGAGTGTTCTTTCCCCCCCTGGTGAAGCTGTGGAGTGCTCAATTAAGAACATTCAAGCTTCCGACGGCGCGGTGGACATGGTGTTGACGATTCGATATGTCATTCCTTTCGATCAGCTTGAGCGGTACCTGGCAGCAGTAGGCCCCCAACCTCCAAATGAAGCCATAGCTATGGCAGCCGCTCATGTGGCCCGGGTTCGGTGTGTAGATTTTTCTATTGGGATCTTAATAAGTCTGTCACGGCGGGAGGCGGTTTTCATTCAGGTCTATCGGGAACATTTGGCGACGAAGCTGATGTCTGAGATCGCTGTGAGGTTGACGGATTTAAAGATTGAAAATGTAGAGCTTCTTGAGGGATTTTAGATATGGGAAGGAAAAATAAGGCGCCTGAGGGAGTGTAAAATTTATTAGTTCTATGGTTTACGATTTCTGCTTTTAGCTGTACATGGGTTGGATGTGAAGGCGATGAAAAGCTGAGAAAATTTGTTTTTCAATGCGTATATGCCTGTAGGACTGTTGTATTTGCTGACCCTTCCGTCGCTAATGGGTTTCTACTATTGCCTCTACGTGAACGTGTTCCTACATGCTTCTCTGAGTGTTGATAGTTGATGTTTAGACTTACACTTCAATATATTAAAGAGCGTGTTTCTCTATTTAAGTGCCATTTTTTCCCCCAACGAACTTATTCGTCAGTCTACCGTTAATAAAATGAGTTCCGTGACGCTTATTAGCAACCCTACCCCGGATGTCACAACCTACGAGTGGCGTCCGGTAGGCGTTTCTCAACTCATGCGAGAGAACAAGCTTACGTCGCCACCATTTTGGATGCCCAACGCCCAAATGCGAAAGTATCAGTTCCGATTCATCATGCTTCGAGGGTTAGTAGAAGCTAAGGAAGCTAAGGATGATCCCTACGGTCTGATAGTAGAGCTGCTGCAGCCGCCACCCGATGCTGACGTTGGTAAAACGGGTCCAGCTATCAAACCCCCTAGTGCTTACCCTGGTGGGTGCTCCATCACGGTTCTCGTGGTAAGTCATGATAATGACACAAAGGATATCACAGCTACTGCTGCTACCATTTTTAGTGAGGAAAACTTGCAGGTTTCCTTTCCAGAGTTGATTTCCTATGAGGAGGCTCAACACGCGGCCTATCTCGTCGGCGAGCCCCTAACATTCACACTGCGCGTTACTATTCAATTTGGCGTTAGCGTTGTCGCTCAGCATGTGGTGAACACTGTGTCATCATTATGGACATCATTCCTAACTTCGGTAGACCATTTTGTAGGCAAAACCGCTGAAGCGCTCCAAGAAGGACGTAAAGAGCTCGAGGAGTTGGTGCAGCACTCCATGGAAGAAGACTCAACACCGCACGGGAAGGCATTAGACCCGCCACCGCCGTGGGAGGTGCCACCACCTAAGTGGGCGGCTCGAGCGGAGGCGTGGCGCCACCTCGTGTCTGAACAGATTGTAGAGGACGATGGGGTTTATTTGTATGGCCCCGAGCGGTCCATTACCGAGGGTCAGAGAAATGTCCTGTTAGAGGTTGGCCTCAATTATCATGCGCTGCTGGAAAAGTACAACGAGTTCGACTACGATCGAGATATTTCAGTTAAATTGCTTGAGAGTCGAGGGATACGACAGAACCGGTATATTTTGGTGCCGTCGAGGATAAAGGAAGAGATCTTTTGGGCCAACTACTTCTGGAAGGTGGCGTGCTTGGGAGTGTGTGAGAGTGAGACTCAAGTAAGGGCTCTGCTGACGGTACTGAATGCACCCCCGCTGCCAAAGTCCGGTTATAAAGAGCAGGTGGGACCCACTGTGTCCAATGAGGTGGTTGCAAAGTTGAAAGACGCGCAGGAAGCCTCCGACATCCTCATGGAGTATTTGAGTGACACAAAGAGTACCGACGGAGGGTTTCTGATGGAAGCCGCCGCTGTGACGTGTGAGGGCCACCTCAGACTGCTAGAACTCCTCCAGGGCCAAGAGATGGAGGAGGAGACCTCAGTCCTTCTGACCTCGACGCTGCAGCGGCTCCGGGAGCGCATCGACAAGTACCATGATATGGTATCTCAGCGCCCCAACGGTGCCAATGAAATTCCCAGTGCCACTTCCAGGGAGTCGGTCGCATTGAACGAGGAAGACACTGCTCCACCAGTCAATGAAATGCCTTCCCTACAACCGGAACCCAAGCGCGAACTTAGTGGGGAGGCGGCCTTGCCAACGCAGACACCGCCTCCGTGCCCCTCTCACACTGAGCAGAAGAAAGAGGAAGACCATACCGATTCTTTAGTCGAGTCGCAAAAGGGGTCTGTTGAATATTCTAAACATGCCGTCCCAGTCGATTTCCCTAAAATGCCATGGGAAGAGTAAGAGAGTAAAAGAGAAATTCGTTTTTTTTTTTGGTTAGCCAGTTTCTTGACCTAGTACTTGATGTCGCCTACAGAGGGAGACTCCCCTTCATAGCACCACGACAGGTCCCCAGACGGTATAACTGTGTAATGCTAAGGAACCTTTTGAGGAGGGGTGGTGCCTAAGGGAGTAAGTATGATCCCAGAACCTCTGGACGGGGCTCTACACGAGACCCAATTGCCGTGAAAACACCTTTCCACTCCCCCCAAAAGCTACCTGAATAAAAAGTATGCTGCAGTTTACTTTTTAAATCAATTGCAGCAATGAACTCTGGCAACACAGTAAATTGTCCGATTTGGCCAAGGAACAGGGAAGCTTATATTGTCTCATTTACATGCAGCAAGTGATAGTTATTTGTTTTTTTAGTGTAACCATCAATGTAATGGAGAAAGCAAGCAGTCATGTCTTATCGCCTGCAACAGCTCTTTAATAAGATGGATGGGCAATTTTTCCACACTTTCGCTATTGTTTTAGCCTTTGCTAAACTCTTTTGTTTAACTTTAAAGGGGTTTGAGGTGAACTAGCTCAAAAAGCAGTAGGGGTGAAAGCAAACACGAAGATCATGAGAAGACTCTTTTCTTCAAGTAGCCTTCGGATCGTGACTCATTTAGCAATACGTGGGATTGCCACCAACGGCCGGATCACCAACGAGGACCGACGATGGTGGCTTATTCACCTTGAGTGTGCCCCGGACATCACACCGGGAACATTTGTGTCGTGGCTAGACTGCTGTGGCACGCACACAACCAAAAAGCTTATCGAACGCAACATCTGGACTATTGAACAGGTAGCTGAGCTTGATTCCGACGAGGTCGACGAGCTAAAGTACAAAGAAGGATGCCTGAAGATTGATATAACATGGGAGCATGCGCGTACCATAATTACTCCGCTACGCCAACGAGCGCAAGGCAGCGGGGTTGAGTCGGAGCTTCAGAGCCGCATCTTGGAATTGCGCAAGAAGCGAGAGTTGGAGCGAAAACGTGAGGAGATTCTGCAGGAGCGAGCTATCATCAGTGACAAGAGGGGTGAGATGTTGCAGAAGTTGCGTGAGACTATTGCATCTAAAAAGGCCGAGCTCCGGAAAAAGATGGCGGAAAAGCAGGCATCTGCTCAGGCAGCCATTTCTGGTGATACTGGCTTAACGACAGTTGAGGACCCTCTCACGGAAGACTCGGTAGGAGCTGTGGTGGATCGAATGAGCAATGCCATTGGCGGCAACCGTCGTGATCAACGATAAACAGGCTTAATGCATTCACTAAGCAATGCTTAGTCCGAGAAGAGTGTGCTTTGTAAGTTAGGTTTGTTTGTGAAAGGGTTAAACTGGAGGGAACCATTACCGCCAATGTATTGGACAAAACAAGGCACTGGAGATAATTTTTTTACTAACCTCAACTTTTACCATTTTCGTTCGTTTTGACTATTCTATATGAGGGGGAAAGACTTCCATAAACCGCATGCCTAAAGCGTGTGTTTAACAAGACGCTCTCACAGTTAACTTCAGTGAGAAAGTGTGTTATGCCATAAATAATAGCGTCTCAACATCAGAACAGGTGTTACGCGGCTCGGCTGTCCCTAATTCTTGTCATCGTACAAGACGACATCCTGATCAGTGTCCATGCTATCATGGGATGCTTGTGCGCAAAACAATCCAAGTGAAGTTGTGCTTATTTGTCGGCCTTTAGCTCACTTACGAGGAGCCTCAAAAGCCACCGTGTGAGTCAAAACTGGAGCAGCATTGAGGGCCTTCAGATTCCCACGTACTACGAACCTTTTTCCTGCAAGTTAATAATGTGGATGAGGAAGCGAGTGAAGTGCCTGTGACTCATGAAAAGACTCCTTGACGGATTTGCAATTGACGGTGTTCATTACAATATCAAACTCTTTCGCCATGTTACTAGGATCTCGAGGTGCACCGAGGCGAACTTCTTACTAACTACCCGGTTGTTTCATACCCTAACCGAGTTACAAAAAAAAAAACGGATCCCAAACTCCAGGAAGCATATGCCGTTATTCAACATGTCATCACCTGCGTCTATTTAAGGCGTAAGTTAGTCTCAAACGATACCGCTTCTGTATGGAGGGGATGGGTTTTGTTACGGTATCCCTTGGCGTATGACTGGAGTTTGAGTTATTCGTTTTCGCAAAGTGAATGCATGAGAGGTGTTCAAAGTGGAATAGCGTATCCCCCGCTACAGAGCCGTTTTGCAGGGTAACCTTTGATTTTTTAGCTTCCCTATCACTCGTTGCTACAGTTGCATTTGTACGTTACTTTAATATAAATGCTGAAGGACACACCAGGTATAGGGTGAATTCATTCTCTTAACGCTGTCATTCGCACTCAAAGCTGGCAAAAAGTGATTCGACTCGGGCTGCTGCCCCTTTTGAGTGTTGACCTTGGAATTCGTTTTCCTTAATTAAACGGCACAGGTCACGCCATCGGTGCTTCAACCTCCGTAAAAGTAGCGAAAAGATTTCTGTAGGGAAATAGGCTGCGCACGTGGGAGGAGATAAAAATACGGAGCGCGATTGGTACCGTGATTGTTGGTACAGTAAAGTGAAGTGGAGTTCTGATTAATATCAAGGTGTCGGCAATGACGATGATTTTCTTACGCTTGAATGAGGTAGTGACTCGCTCCAACACGAACGATAAGGGGTTGTTGTTGTTTATCTTCCCTTCCTTCCTAAAAAACAAACAAACCCAAAAAAATCAGCTGCTTATTAACATCTTCGATCTTATGTTCATTACCTTTATTTCTCATTGTCACTATGCCAAATACACATAGAGCAAAATGGAAAACCGGAAGCGATCTCGTAAGAGTACGTTAGCAGAGGCCGATTCTGATAGACCCGACGAAAAGACAAAACGCGCCGTTCAAAGTAGCTCCGCGAGTGAAAATGACGAGGAAGTTGCAACGTCTGATTTCAGTGACAATCCTCCCTTATCTTCAACATCGTCCAGCACAGGAGAAATCAACTTTGGTGAGGATCCCCAAAGAGCGGCTCTGCTACCCATGTTAGAGGAAGCTTTGCGAAGGATGCTGCCGGGGGAAATTTTCAGTCAATGTCTCCAACGCCTCTCACGAAGCAATATGGAGGAGTTTAACTACCTGAGTGAGCTGCATACTACAGTACTCCACCAATATGAGCTGCTGTTAATGAAGTTAAAACGAGAGGCAGTCTTGCTTAAGGCCCTTGAGGAGGCTGCCCGTACGCAAGCTCAATTGCAGCCTCTGTGGTTTTTGAGATGGACTGATACTCCGAACGTTGTGAGCGGTCCGTTCTTAGAACAGAAAATGCGAGAATGGGCATCGAAGGGATATTTTCTTAAAAAGAAGGCTGAGGTGCTTAGTGGTACTGCGCTGCGAGTACAATGGAAAAGTGCTACGGATACTTTTAAGTAAATTTAGTGAGGTGCGACGTGCTCGAAGGTCTGCATGCTAACATGACCTACAGTAGCGGGATGTCGTGCCGCTTTAAACACAAGGAAGACAGGGGCTACTTTCTAGAACGACCTCTCCTGTTCGATTCTTTTTAATGCTGTGTGTGTCGCTCGTTTGTTGGTGGTGCGCATTTTCGACTTTCCCTTTTTATCTCTTCCTAACCTGAACGTTTTGTACTTAGAAAAAAAGACAGACCTATTTGCTTAACTCTTAAATAGAAACAGCGCTTATTCCTCCTAAAAGGACGTGCTGCCAGCGCCGACAGAAATTAGCATTTTTTACCTAAGAAAAGGTTACATATATATATATATATATATACAGCAAAACAAATGCCTGTACAGAGCAGGAATACACGAACGAAGGCTAACTTGAACACGGTTTTCAGAAAATTCCATATTTCGCACCTTACGCCTTCGTTTGGTAAAAACATGACCCCGAGGGGGTTTTCAGAGCTTCAGCCGGACAACCTAGGTGCATACGGCATTCAGAACGAGACCGATGCCACTCGATTGCGCGATGCGGTTGAATATGTAAAGGGCATTTTAAATTCACCATCCCCTTCCTCGGTTAGTGAAGTGTTGGACGGCGTCGAGGAATGCGATACAACGGAGGGTAAGGAAAATGTGCATGAGCGAAACCGTCGATACACAGCGCGAGGCACGACCGTGCTCACTAGAACGCCGGACAACCGTGAGGTTAAACGGAAAAGCCGCATTGTAGTTGCGATCCGAAAGCGACCGCTGAATGCTGGAGAGGCGACCAGTGGGCTTGAGGATGTTATGGAGTCGAATAACGCGAACGAGATCATACTGAAGGAGCCCAAGGTGAAGGTTGATCTGCGCAAATACACCCACATTCATCGTTTTTATTTTGACGAGGTCTTCGATGAGACGTGCACGAATGAGAACGTGTATCAGCGCACTGCTCGCGCCCTTATTGATACAGTTGTGGATGGTGGCCTGGCCACATGTTTCGCTTACGGCCAGACGGGCAGCGGCAAGACTCACACGATGCTTGGTAAGGGTGAGGAGCCGGGATTGTACGCCTTGGCGGCACACGATCTCTATGAGCGTCTCGGCGCGGGGGGTGACCTTGTTGTGTCTTTCTACGAAATTTATGGGGGTAGACTATATGATCTGCTCAACCGGCGTCGGTTGTTGAGATGCCTTGAGGATGACAAGGGTAAGGTTAACGTTCGAGATTTGACGGAGCACATTTCGGGAAGCGTAGATGACCTGATGCATATTATAGAGCAGGGAAGCCGTATTAGAAGCTCTGGGTGCACTGGTGCTAACGACACGAGCTCCAGATCGCACGCGATACTCGAGCTAAAGCTGAGAATCCATGACGCGAACGGTCCCAAATGCTCCGGTGGCAAGTTCACGTTTATCGATCTGGCCGGAAGCGAGCGTGGTGCCGACACCGTCGATTGTGCGCGGCAAATTCGGATGGAGGGGGCTGAAATCAACAAGAGCCTTCTCGCCCTGAAGGAATGCATCCGATTTTTAGACCAAAACAAGAAACATGTGCCTTTCCGTGGGTCGAAGTTAACCGAGGTCTTGCGCGATTCGTTCGTCGGTAACTGTCGAACCGTTATGATTGGCACCGTTTCACCCGCAAACAACAACTGCGAACACACTCTGAATACCCTACGTTACGCGGATCGTGTAAAGGAGCTTAAGAGAAGCGCTTCAAACAAACCAACCTTAGAGGACAACGAACAGAAGCAGATTTTTAGTGTGGATAAGTCAGCTTTGCTGAGAGCCAACCGACACGGTACTACGATTCAAGGGGCTGATAACCGTTTTCCGCCCGCAGTGCCACCTCCCGCGAGCGGTCGCAGCAGCGTTCTGTGCAGTCGTGCCCCCACAGCGCTTAACTCAATGGCATCTGAGGGACCCCCAACGCCGAAGAGTGGACGGCGAAGTGGCCAACTCTCCCGGCTGCCACCACCACCGCCTCCGGCTTCGGTGCTGCACGTACCGATTAAGCGTGGCCGCGAGGAGGTCGGATCGTTGGCGCCTTGTTCTCCAAGCGAAGCCGGCTTCAAACATGGAGGATCTCGCCAAGAGTGTGACGCCGACGGCGGCGGCGGCGGCAATGGATTGTCCTCTGACAACCTCTTTCTGACGCCGACACATACCGCGCTGCGGCACAACACTATCGAAGCATACAAGCACTATTTGGGTGTAGACATGTACTGCATTCGTGAGGAGCACCAGATCAAGTTCAATGCTGAGCAGGACCGAGTGAGTGACGAAGAATTTATTCAAAAGGCTCGTGAACTGGTCGATGCAAAGTGTAGAGCAATGAGCAGTTTCCTTTCTTTTCTTGAAGCACTTGAAAGGTCGTCAAAGTAACATTCCAAGTAGCACTGGTGATAGATTTTTTTCACGCTCATCATCTCTTGCCTCATGAACGTATGTAGTCATAGAGAGCAGAGAAAGGAACGTGCGAACATTTGTATTTTATTTTCATTTCCTGGTCTAATCACGAGATTAGGCTGGAAAGTTTTCTTTGCATTTAGACAATTTAAGAGCTCTTTTCATTTTTGTTATTGTGTTCCATTTCATTTAGATTTCTTCCATTTTTTTTGTTATTTTTCTTACTGTGAGATATGACTTATCATTTTAGGCATGTAAAAGGGGTCCAAATGCCTATTCGGGTGTCCTAATTAGGGGGTATGAATGTTTTGCGTAATTTCTGCCCGTCTTTTGATGTTTGAGCCAATCATTTTATCAAGCGTGTGATTAAGATCCATTTAGCGACTTAGAGTTGAAGAACTAAGAATATATATACATATATATATATATATATATATAAGGAAAGAGCGATAGAGGGCATGAATGCTTCGGTTGTCGGTCGTTTTTCTGAATGCTGGAAAGGGCGGCACTAATCCCTTCAGTCAGTTTCGTTCCACTATGAAGACGACGATACAGCCATCAATTCTAAGTGCTGATGTGGATAAAAGGGCTTTGAAGGCTAAGCTACAAAGTTACCTCGCACAAGAAATGGCCTCCGGTAGAGATGTGGAGCCGGAATACGTGCCGCCGTTGCCTAGAAAGTGGGTCAAAGCCCCTAAATCCATGCTATCTACAAGCGAAACACAAAAAAATTGGTTCCGGATTATGTCCTTCAATATGATGGTGGACCGCTACAACAATGCCTCTAAACACCAAACTACGCCGGTAGAGGATGTACAAGTACGAGTGCCTAGCTTCACACGGAATGCGAGAAGCGACCCCGCCTCCGACGGCGCGTCATCGGATGCGTCAGATGAGTTTATCAACTTCGACCCCCGTATCGACGCGGAGCTCCCACCATTTCTTACGTCTGATTTCCGTAGAGCACATTTGATTAACACCATTAAACATTACGATCCGGATGTGGTGTGTCTAAATGAGGTCAATCGCGTCTTTTTCAATGGAGACCTTTGGCGATACGTTCGCTTCTTGGGCTACGGGACGCTCTATCAATCCAGCCGTGGAGCGCGGGTACGGGTGCTTCGCCAAGGCGAAGACCCCACCGCGCCCCGCAATGTGGGTAAAATTCACGAGGAGGAAGATATCGGCAATGTCGTTCTCTTCCATAAGGGTCGCTTCATACCGCTCCTCATGCCAGGCCGAGACCTCCCCGGACACTTCCATTTTGGCCATTTCGTGTCCCTACGCGACAAAATCACGAACCTGGATTTGAATGTAGGATGTGTTCAACTCACGGCGGGGGAGACCGAAGAGGCACGCGCAGTAAGGCTACACGAAGCCCGACAGATCCTCATGATATTAGATGGTATGAGTGGCAAAACCGCTGATTGTGCGCACACAACGACCGTCCTGTGCGGCGACCTGAACAACGTGAATGACGAAGAACCCTGCATTCAGGTGATTCGTGAGCGATTCTTTTCGACATATGATGCTCTCGGGGGCCCGAGATGGACGGCGTGGCATCATCGAAAAGCCTTTGATGAGGAAAAAGGCAGTGCCCCTAGCTTCCCATCCCTTCCATCATCGGGGTACAGCAATTATTTTGCTAAAAACGTCGAGGAAATGCGTCGAACAGACGCGCAATGCATAGCTGAGGAAGAGATCAAACGTCACATGAGGGCGGATGTGGGGTTGAAGAATCATAGCAAATTACCTAATGGGAGCTTAATTGGAAAGCTTATCTCTGACAATGTGGATTCGACGATTCAAAAGACGACGTCGCTCCCACGCGATGGCTCGGGCGATAGCGTGAGGGAACAACCGCCGGATAGCAGCCACTACGCCGGTTCTGAAAGGGCAGATATGCTTGCCCTTTGCAAGACTAATATGGAGCGTCGTGGAGTAGTGTATAGAGCGCAGGACTTCATATTTTACGAACCCCAATCCCTAGCTCTCCATCAGGCACTAGATATTCCTGAGGATGAGGAGATCAACCCCCAGCAGCTCCTTCCTAACACCAAGTTGCCCTCTCATCATCTTCCGTTGCTTGTGGATGTCTCGTTTAACAATATTTATCCCGAGATTTGAGAAATTTCCTGAAGGCCGTAGTTTTTTGATAAAAGTGCCATGTAACAGTCGACAGAGGGCCTTTTATCTATTCGGCTTCGAGGCGATCGCCTCTGAGGGGGGAGGTCAGTAGCAGAGTTCTGATAGGGCTAGAGAGGGTGTTTGCTTGATGCGCGCACTCGCCACACTCTCCAAGTGTGTTGGTGGTGTGGGCGCTCTCCTACGCCACTGACACGTACCGAGACATTCCCCCCTTTACTCCATTAGAGAAGCGTCTTAAAGAAGAGAAGATTACGACGTGTTCAGCTGGATGGACGCGTCAACTTTGCAGCTTTCACTAGTACGCCGGATCCTCAAGATTCTATAGTATCCGTGGATTGTGATCTAGAAGGTGATATCTCCTCGCACGACTGGGATGGGGGTGTTCTGAGCCCATCTCCAAAGCCATTTCGCCTTTTTCCATAGTGAGGTAGGGCCGCAAGTGATGTCGGGTGCGAGTAATCTAATGACAGGATTTGCTATCGAGAAGTAGTCAAGCGAATTAAGATCTGTGGCTGATGCACGGCATATTTTTCAAATTTTTTAAACCTTTCCTGTGATGATCTAACACAAGTATCTCCATCCTCCTCGTCTCTTTTGAAATCGCTTCGACATAGGGACAATTCAGATTGTTTAAGCCTTATTCAGTGGATAAGGGCTTAACTTTTGGAAGGAGCTTTTGCCCATAGAAAGCTACAACAATAGTATCACTAAGAGACTATCTACTAAAGCGGTCCTGAAGGGATACTTTTAGGGGTCGTCTCCAGCGGTTCCTTCTCGTTGGAGTTATCGGAATGAATTTTACACTTTTTTGGCTATCCTACGATAACGATTTGAAGTGAATCCTCCCTTGCGAGATTGGTGTTTTCCCGCGTAACAAGACAAGATATCTTTGTTCGTTCAACAGGGCCTCGCGTGGTTATCTTTGCTACAAGTAATAGAATAGATGATGTCCTTTGCTATTCTTTTGGCTCAGCTTACCTAAACGGACTGCCCGTGGTGGTGGCTAACTTTACGATCCCGTTTCATGACTTGTAGCCAAATTTGACTTTATGAAAGTGGCCATCGAGAATGCAGAGTTACAGCCGAAGACGTGATTATTGCAATGAGTTCAGACACAATCTTCACTGCTACAGACCTTAATCCGTTCCTGGATCGTTTCATTGCGCGGTCCGCTCCCACGCCTGAGCTGCGCTGTGTGCGCGTCTGGAAACGGGAATGAGTTTAGGAAACGGGAACGGGAACGGGAACGGGAACGGGAACGGGTTAGGGTTA